TGTCCTAGCATTTACTAGATTGGGGGGTAGCTGGTATATATAGGATGGTCACAACGTGACGGGACAATGTGTGTAGATAATGAGTAATTGAACTGCAGTCAGAGAGAGACGTATTGTTGAAGTCGAGCTCGTGAGACGTGAATTATAATTTGTTATAGCGCGACTGTTGAAGTTCAGTGTATCGCAAAGTTGTATTCGGAAAGAATAAACCAGTTTTATTTTAGAAAGGACTTGTGTCGCTAAAGTTTTTTACGGAAAATCAATTAACAAATGGAGACGTAACAGTATGTTTGTTTTGTTAAAAACGTTGGTGATATAACAGAAAATAGCTTAATTCAGAAACGATTTAAATTTAAACTTGAATCGATATTATTACTTCGATAAATTTTATGCATTTGACTCTAGGCTAGGTGATCTCACACTATGTCTTTAGGCTTATTATTCCAACACTCATTACATTTATAAGGTTTCACGGGCCCCCTTGCAACACCGTCACTAAAATTGTAATTGGCAGATAGTAACCGAACTATTCTATCTGGATAAATGCATTTTAGCTTTTATGGCTCTTTCTATTTCGAGAAATCAAGCGTGACTTGACACACACTAGCTTTCGTATAGCTTAGATACTATTTATTGTGAAAACAAAAGATAAGAAAACAATAAAAAATCCTTATTCTAACGCCTTTCTTTTTAACCTTTAGCATAATTAAAATCATCTTTGCTGTTATTTTTGACATTGTCAGCCAGCTGATTCTGAAACTTTTTCGATTTTGTATATCCTCCATTCTTTCTGTCGATTTAAATTTACTTAAATGATGAACATCAAGTTATAATGATTTCGCAATATAGCAGTCGAAATCAGTTCCCAGTTAACCAGCTATGCATGCTGCTCTGTTTCTTCTGGGAGTAGTTCGAAAACAAAGTACGTATCAGAGTTTAACAATAAAATGGATTTTATTTTTCTCAGTGTATAGTGTACACTGTATTGTCTGCTTCTGCAATTATTTTATTGTTGATACGCTTCGTCTCCTGTGGAGTAAGTGAACCAATCAAACTGAAGTTCGAAGTAAGTGTCACTAAGTGGCCGATTTTGACTATGGCGACTAGCGGGAGTAGCAGCTCGATGAGTGTAAATGATGGCACACCATTGCATTCTAAAGTATGTACCAAAATTTATGTTTTGAATTGTAGTATATGTAAGATATAAAAAAAAAATATCAAAATCATTAGAATAATAGATACTGCATCTAAATTATATTACACTTTGAATTTTTAACATGAGCAGATTGTCTAACTTGTCAGATACATTAGTTTTTAGTTCGTACTCTTACTCGAGTCGTAAGCCTAAACTGGTTATTTTTTTCTTTTTCTTTTAGGCTTAGCGAAATACATTTTGCTGTATTATTGATATGTTTAGAAAGTTTTGGTAGTTTACATACTTATGAACATTTAATGCATTATGAACTATATGACTACACTTCTTTATAAAATGCTAGCTTTTTGTTTCGTAAAATTAATACTTAATAATAGTGCAATTTTAGTTTTAAGCGTACAATTACAACTGAACTTAAGTGAGTACTGTAATCTGTAGAGTGTAGCGTACTGAGTAAAGTAAAATTGAATTGGATTGGGTCAGTTTCAAAATGTTTAAATATCTTTCAAGATTTTGGCTATAATTATTAATATTATTCAAAAGCATATTTTTAAACCTTTTAGTTTCAAGCTTGTGGAGATACCTTGAGTTTTGGTCTTGTTCTCTCCAAAATGTACGAAAATTTAAGAATGAAAGTAGTCTGATTGATATATTCTAAATTGTTATTAATTAGTGCTTTGGACAGTCTTCCTGTGTGTGGTATGTTTGAGTGATGGAGTGAAAAGGTTTGTAATATGAACATCAGTATTACCATTAGGGATGCTATAGTGTAGGTTTAATTAAGCTTTGGAAGCCTAGTTGCAATTGAACATACTTGTTTGGTTGTTGTTACAAACTTCTGAAATGATGATATAGTGATTTTAGTTTGAATTATTTCATAATTTTGTTAGTTTGTTTTGAATTTATGTATTTTGCTGTTGACTCCTTGTCACCTTGCTCTTTATGTTCTTGTGTGATAAACTTGATTTGATATCTGTAATTTTAAGTGTAAAGCTAAATCTAAGACTGTTTCTTCAGTATGTGCTTTAGTTTTTTCGTAGATTAATAAATTTATGTACAAGGCTGCTTAATACTTAACACACATTACACAGTTGTACATCAAAAAAGCTAAAAATGGCTTTCAAAATACATTAAAATTTGATTTAGAATAATAATTTATGTATAATTTATTAAATCTTATGCTAAATAGACCTCTGTTGACTGGTGATTACTTTTATCAACTATTATTTATCATAATTCTGTATAGATATATATTTATATATTGCCTATCAGTTATTTACATCAATTATTGTGTTTGTGTGAATTGAATTCTTAAACATGAGCGGATGCGACCAGCATCCAGTTGAGATATCCCAATTTACCCATCAGATGTTGACAATTTTTGATAACATTTATGCCTCTTTGGATGAACACTAATCCACACCATTTTATTATCCACCTTTTATAAATATACCAGGAATTTTATAAGGTATGGTGATAATTATTAAGACATAATAAAAATACTCCCAGCAGAATGCACAAAAAATTGTGGGTTTAAAGAATTAATAGGCTATATTTGAATATAAAAGAAATGCTGTGTCACTGTAATTTGAGAAAAGATAATTTTGTGTTTATTGTAGAATATAGGATTTGGAAAGTAAAGGATAACGTCAGCTTTTAACAGTTGTTAATTAGGCTTGCTTGTCCATGTCATATTGTTAAAAATTACTTTTAAGCAATGTTGTACTTCATATTCTTGTTTTTACATGCAATGTGTGTGCAAATGCTATAAGCACACACCTACCACATGATTGAGCACTTCAAGAAATTTTTCATAATACATAAAATGAAAATTGTATTTTTTCTTAGCTTTTTTCTCTGTCCTTTAACCAGGTTATAATGAGTGTTGGAATAGTTTAAATGAAACAAATGAAAATCTTTGTAAATGTTCTTGTAATGTATTAGAGAGTTAAAGAACGACGACACTATACAGATGACTGTTTGCAAGATGAAGAAATTGAAGGAAGGCGTTTGTTTTCAGTGGAAGAAAAATTAGCCAGTAATCGTTTTGGACCCTTTTTTGTAAAAGATATGAAAGGAGAAGGTAAGAGTTATTTAAATTTTGTTTTTCACTCTTTTTCCATCTCTTTTGTAATAAATTGAATTAAAGCATGAAATAAACTTAAAAATAATTTTTTTTTCATTGTAATATTGATTGTATTTTACCCAATAAGCAGAAACTAGTAAGTGCTTTGGTTGGAAATTGCATTGTCAAGTTTAAAGTAGTCATTAGAGTTTAGGAATTTTCTTTGTCAATTGCAGATTTTAGTCTGAAGTATCTTCAGGAGCGTGGCTTGGACTTTCCTCTACTGTTTAAGGAAAAATCTGGACTGGGAATGCGGTAAATATATCTGTGAAGATTCTCTTAATATTTTGACTGCTGTTAATTTTCTTATTTGTTGAGTTTATTAAGTGGCATTCTTTTAAAGGTGAAGGAATAGAGAGAGAGCTTAAACATTTCTAATTTTGTTTATTATAAAAGTTTTAAAACCAGAATAGAGTACTAAAACCACCAAACTCAGTGTAGAACTAAAACTTGTCCTAAATAAACTTTTCAATTAAACACATCACAAAACATAGAATTTAACAGACATGAAACAGATGGGAGAAGAAGTGCATCAACTAAGAATATAGGTGTGTGTGTGTGTGTATGCACACTCACACACTGGAAAAATGAAAAACTATGTTATCTTGACTTATATGAAAATTGCTTAATGCTGAGAATTTGGGTTTTTATTTACTTTTCAGTGTTTTAAGTTTATTGCAGTGATTGTTCTTTTCTCATGTTTTTTTTTCATCTTATACTTAAATATTTTCAGTATTTTCACAAGTCACTTGCATAAATTGAAATATTGTTTTGGAAAGTTAATGTAATCATAAAAAAAGGTCTTATTGTTGTGGACTTTGAAAATGTCTATGTGACTATATTAAATATGGCTTTGTCTTTTTTGATGACTGAAATAAATGTTCATATGCTTTACTGTTCATTTTGTTGATTAAGCTTATATGTAGAACATTATTTGTTGCGAAAAGACGTTGAGTGGATGTTAAATATAATAGAAGATAGAATGGTTATAATGCACTGTATCATGTTTTACAGAATGCCTAGTGATAACTTCACAGTCAATGATGTTCGTCAGTGTGTCGGTAAGTTTTGAGTTTGAAACATTAGACATTATGTTAAAAATGTTCATAAGTAACATAATTGATATTTTAGTTTCAAGATGTTTAAAGATCTTTCAAGATTTGAACTGGATATACTTCTATAATAATAAAAAAGAGCCTGTATATTGTATGTGTAACTGCTATAGCTCCAAGAGGAAAGAACCTAGAGAGCTGAAACTTTTCACACATACTAAGGGTATTCTAAGGGTGTGCACCTGGGTATTATTTTTTAGGTGTGATTTTTAAAAATTTTGGCCAGTTTTTTGCCCTATAGCCCTTATGCCCCATAATTCTGCTTCCTGAAGACGGTCTGCAGAAAAGTATCATATTTTTTTCTAATTTTTACTGACTAATAAACAATATGTGTAGGTTTTCTGCCAAATAATGTTGAAAAAGAACAAAATAGTAGAAAAATTGGGTGAAAAAATGGATATTTTTATCAAAAATGAACAAAATCCAATAGGGTATGGGGCTAGTCAAAGGCAACATAGAGGGAAACAAAAGCATCAGAACCCATGGAACAGACTCTCAGAATACTAGAAAAGGTTTAATTAAAGTTCAGGAAATAACGTCAAACAAAAGTTAAAAAATTCCAGTTACCAGTTTGACTCAACTTTGCCATGAGCACAGAGGCAATCACTCAAGATTGTTGGGCTCAACCTGCAAAGCCCATGCTATTCTCATGAACAAATTTATGTTGCCTGCTCCAAGGTTGGTGATTGCAAGAACCTTTTCATCTTGACACCAGATGTGAAAACAACCAACATTGTCTATCCTGAAGCACTGCAAGGATAAAAAATTTGCAAAACACTTCAATAAAATGTGATAGAAATATGTTATATAAAATTTGATGTGAAATTCTCAGTGAAATGATAAAGTATTGAGATATAAGTAAATAATTCTTAATTTACAGCAGATATATTTTATTACACAATAAAATTGATGACTTCTATAGGTTTCTGGGGAAAAAAAAATCTTTGAAAAGATTTTTAGCTGTATCTCATATCTACAATAAGTTCAAAATACACACCCACAGTCGACCAGTAAAAGATCAATCTAATAACCCAAGTGAAACCTGGTACTTTGGCTATTTTGAAATATAGATGATGATTCACTGTATTACTTTTATTGTATTTTTTAGTATTAGTCTTATAACCCTTTGCTATTGATGTCATTTTTATATTCTGTTCTGTGTATGGAACCAAGTTACATTCAAAATTTTATCAAACCACTTTACTATCATTATATGTCAATGAAATTAACATTATAATGTGTGTTATAATTTGAATTTTTATGTTATCTATGTTTTAAATCCTCTGTTTCAAATGAATCGCTTAAAGAAATACTTAAGATGCATTTTACTTGTCATGTGATCCATGTGCTATGAAAAATCTTGAATTTAGCAGCAGGTCACTGTTAGCCACATATGCTGGCAATGTAGATGAGTGTTTAGATGACAGTATAGATCTGTGTGCTCCTTTTGACACGTAAGATACAAAATCTCACAGCTGTTTTCACTGGGAAAGAAATATATTTTCCAATTCTTGACGGTTGCCACGCCCAGCTTCTATACTTTGCCTTGATATCTACAATGTACATGTAGTTAGTAGACACAAGTGTATATAATCATTTGAAAAAGCTCAAGTTATACAATACTCTACCAATGGTTAATTTGAAATTGGCACACAGATTTCCTCATGGTGTACATGTATGTAACTGTCTTTAGTATTGCTGTCTGCTTGATTGAAATTAGTGATTAGTGATAGTTTCATACCTAAATATGCTATGGTTAGAAAGACAGTTAAATTGTATTTAAGTCTTGCTTTTATATTTTCATTAATTATGTATTATTTGTGTTTTAAAAATCATATTTGAAAGGTATAATGATTTTTACAAGTTTAACTTGTTGCTTGGATTGTGAAACTGTATTAACAAGATAGAATCATTTGAATGTGCAAAGCATTAGTGAAATGAGTTTCTATACAGGAGTTGCCATATAATTATAAAAGAGCCCATGGGCACCAGTTGACTTGTCAGCATAAATAATAAAAACAAAGAATTGGAAAGGGAAATTAAAACTAGAAGTCAATAGATAAGGGCATGAAATTATGCATATTAAAAAACATGTTTCAAAAGACTTCTACGAAGAACTTAAAGGTATGTACATATTTCCATTTCTTAATTTTAAACATTTCGTTGCACTGTACGTTGATGATAATAGGTAGAGTTAGTGATATAGTAGAGAAAATGATAAATACAATATAAACATTTACCTTAAAAAACTTTTGATATTCATTTATGAGGTTCTAGAGATTATGCAAATGAAATGTGAAATTGTAAGATAAAAAATAGTATTTTTTTACTTCATATAAAAATCACCTTGCATGTGAACTATTCAGAGTCCAAGTGCAAATACGTTAAAGTGCCAAAATTTATTTTTTCTTTAATTGGACATTCAATGTTTCGCTTTACAGCTTCTTCAAGAGTGTTTCACTAAAACACAAATCATAACTGATAATATGAAGCTTCATATGGTTTGAATAATAAATTCTAATTGATCCTATAATGTGCATTTATACAGTGGGTGTTTGACATATAAAGTAATAAAGCTTCATGTTGAAAGAATAGTATTGTTGAAATAATTAAAAGCTACCTGTAGTAAACAAAAGTTCTATCCAAGTTACAGATTGAAATAACAAAAGATAAAATAAAAAAATTATAATTATAGACTGTATCCGTTGTCCACGATGAGTTAAAAAATGATCTGCATCTGTGCTTATTTCATGTTTTTGTTTATAGAGAGAGTTAATATGTTCTCTTATATTTGTGTGTGGGATTCTTCCAGTTTCCCCAATGTATGTATGATGGCAGATGTTACATGTAAGCTGGTAAACAACATTGGAGAAAAGACAGCCATCTTTAGATTGCACACATGTTTTTGTAAGACAGTTGGCTTTATTAAGTTTTAGGGTAGTGTACTGAGATTTTGAAAATTGGTTTTTTAGGGTTAGATCTTGCATTCTACAACTTTAATTGACAATTTCCATTTCTGGATTATAATTTTTATTTTTTTGGAGATAGTTTTGTTTGTCACTTAGGTACCATTAAAGTAATCATTTTATTGTGTTATCTTTGGAAAATTGTCTTTTTCCCTCCTTGTTTATCTCCGTTTTTTTTATGTTGGAGGTGTGATGGCAGATTTTTTCATTATCATAGTCCTTGATAATTTGTTCGATGTTTAAAATAAAAAGTGGATATTATTGCTCAAGGAGTGATTTTAGTTCAGTGTGTGTAGTATTTTTTTCACTACAATTGTGATAGTTTTTTTTTTAATTCTCCAATAATTGCACCCTTCGTGAAAGATTTGGAATTATAGGAATTGAAGTTAAGGAAAAGAGGATTTCTAATTGGTTTGTGAAACAAGGAAGATTGTATCTTATTTTCATTGTCAATGTTTAACATAACATCAAGAAAATCTGTACTCCTCTTGTCATTCGAGTGATCCAGAATGCATTAGATGTTGGAGTATGACATTTAGAAAGTCTATAAAAGTTGATTAATGAAGAAAGGCCATGGTTCCACTGTCCAAACACATCCAAATATATATATATATAAGCCAGAGATCAGGGATGGTGTTGGTATTTGGATTCCACTTGTCAAATGCCATTGTTTCAAACATTTGCAAAAGAGTTACTACATAAATAACAGTGACTCTATTACCCATTGCAGTATCATTTAGTTGTAGATATAGTTTGTTGTCAAAACAAAAATATCCATTTCAAAGGATGAACTAAAGATTTCCCTGACAGAGTCTATTCTCAGTCCGTACATCTCCAAGTTATTTGTGATTCAACGTGAACTTATACACTGCATTAATGCCATCTTATGTTTGTATAGGTGGTTAGAGAGCAATGCTGTCTGAGGTAAGTAGTATTGTTCTGTTTATCACTAGGTGAGGTACATCCTTGATTCATAAAAGCAAGTCTTGTGTATTATTTTAGTGTGTTGGAATTTGATGTTGTAATGACACTAAAATTGTAAACATAAGCCAAGACAAACTTTCAGTGGCACTGCCATATGCTGAGACTGTGAGTCTTAGTGACATATCCTGTTTTTGTTCCTTTGGTAAACCATATAATTCTGGAATGTGGTTATTAGAGGGTATAAGTTAATCTAGAGCATAGTGAGTGTACTTGTCCATCAAGAGCCCAACATCATAAGTTCAAATAATGCAACATACTCATTATCTACTCTAGGCTAAAACTGTATTACTTGGAGAACCAGTCTGTCACTTTAATAATAAAATTTACTTTATATGTCAAATGCATGCTATAGGTTCGATTAGAATTTATTATTCAAACCATTTGAAGCTTTGTACTGTCAGTTACGGTTTGTCTTTTAGTGAAATGCTCCTAAAGAAACTGTAAAATGAAACACTGATTGTCCAATTAACCCTCTTGCCATGGTTGTCAGTTTCTGTGCTTGTCATAAGTGAGTTACATTCCAAATTTAATTGAACTGGTTTCTTCTCATGTTATATCAATAAATATAGCATAGAAACGTAGCTAATAATCCATATTATAATAGTATACAAGTTTTAAAATCCTACTTTTATAAGGAAATATAAAAAAATCCCCTAGTATGAGAATTGTGACATTTGCTCTTTAAGCATTTCCTCTTTAATTTATTTACCACCCCTCCAAGAAGTAGGAAATTGAATGTAAATTACTTACTTTAATATCATCATTGTTCGGGCAATGCATAATTTTTTATAGCCTTCAATCTTATTTGATGACAGAGCCAAGAAATAGACAACGAGAATACTCTTGCCATTCTCACATCCACTCTTTCAGAAACTGCCAATAGTTCTCTCTGCCATTCAATACTGTGTTATTTATAACCAATAGAAAGTGAAGATTTACATCTATCAAATGATGTATTATATTATGTTGTTTTCTGTAAGGAAAATTGTCAGTTTCACTTTCAGTTCAAGCTTGATTCCCATGGAAAACACTTTGGCGAGCTTAGAAAAAGTTTTAATGGCTCTTGTTGCATAGTTAGGAAGCCAGAAAAATTGTGATAGTTATGGAACATTGTCCTATTTTTGCATGTTATTATTCTGTTCTTTGTTGCATTATTTACTTAAATAAAAAATTATTTAGTGCAGTACTACCATTAATATAAAAAAAATAGGGTTAAGTGTCATCGACAGTTGACGGAAAAAATACATTTGTTTTTTCTAGACTGTATAGTTTGTATATGCTTTAAACATGTAACACCAAACTATATGTGCTATGCATTTGTTCTGCTAGCTTTTATATGGTTAAACGCTTGCTATGGGTAGGTCAAAGTGCACGTGTCACAATCTAATAAATATTTACATTCAAACTTTAGGTGTTATCAATGTACATGAATAAACGAGGCATCAAAACATACCTAATAAATCAGATTTTAATATTATATAAGTAATAATTCCTTAATTTTAAATGGAAATAATTAAATAAATACTCAATCTCTCCCATATATGTGAATCATTGTATTTGTTCTCTAGATCTTGCCCATTCATTACTTTATTTACGAATCTTCTCTGAAGGATGGAGTTTAACATAAACTACTCATTATCATATAGATATCACTAAGGCAATGTCTAATTTTATAACCTTCAAACTTCTTTGTTTACAGAGACATAAACTAGAAAGTCAAACCCACTTCTCGCACCCACCTTTCACATTCTCTCATTCACAAATTGCCAATAATTTTCTCTTACATTTTATATCATTTTTAACTAATTAGAAAGACAAATTTTTAATCTGTTAAATGATGTATAATGTTATTTTGCTTTCAGTACTGAGTATTATCAATTTTGTCTTCAGTTTGAAATTTCATGTTGCTGTGTTCAGATCAAGCAGCTAAGGGAATTACTTTAAGGCTCTTATGTCTTAAATAGAAAGCCAGTTAAATTATAATACAAGTAGGTGATCTCAAGCCCAGGAAAGCAAAAACCAGAATGTTCCAGAAGCTGGTTATTCTGTTGAACACTCCATTAGCTTGGAAAAAATTCTTATACTTGGACTTATTCTGGTTACTGATGCACACTTCCGACTTGAACTTACTGAAAACTGTGCTAAAAATTACTGTACAAATAGGTCAATATAAATAAGTAAGTAAAAATTTCTTTTAGACTTAGTTTTTGATCAATTACTGGCATAGTTGCTTTGTTTGGAGGGCATGGTGAGTCGATGCAGTACGTGGTCTCATTTCAAACCTGCCCTTTGGTTGTGCATCCCTTTATCTGTGTCAACTTGAATTGTTACCCTTTGTTCATCGTGAAAATGTCCAAAAGCAAATAAATAACAACCTTTATGTATGTATTTCATACTTTATTTATATCATCTTTACATACCAGGCGAGACGACCCAAAAATCGGATAATTCTAAAATCTGCTGTGGCTCGGGTCCTAAGCATTCTGGAATTGGGATCAGTTACCTGTAGTTATAAGAATTGTTTGCTATGTGCATATTAGTATGCTATGTTCTTAAGTGTATTTGTTAAATAAGAAAAAATTATTTGATGTACTAATACCATCATTACAAGAAAAATAGAAAAAGTAAGTTTAAACTTCCTCAGCAACTGACAGCAAACAAATAAGACATCGAACATAAGTACTACATTTCTTGATTTTCAAGTATATTTTTTATTTATTTTTATAAAAGTAACTGAAATGTTTAGTAGGTTAGGTAAGATAATTCTCCACGAGGTATTCTTACTAGCAGCTCTTGTATTATTTCATTCAATACAGTAATTTGAGCTATGCTTTTGCCAAGTGTTTTACATCTTGTGTGGCACTCTTATTAGTTACCCACAGTTCAAAGAGTAATAAAATTAAGTGTAACCATGTATACTATCACAAGCCTTAAACTATTTAAAATAAACAACTGTAGTTTTCTGTTGCAATTTGCAGTCATTCTAGAAAGAAAAAAAAAGGATAATTTAAACTTATTTTATTTATTTAAATTTATTTTTATTTTATTTTATTTAAACTTATTTAATCTTTTTTATGGTGGTTACAAGGTTGTTCAAATCAACTGAGTCCATGTTGGAGTTAAAGTAGAGAAAGTAATAGATAGAATATAAAGTTTAACTGAAAGAGTTTGATATTTATTTAGGAGGTTTTAGATGTTACACAGATGTAGAAAAGTATTTTGATCTTAAAATCAAAATCACTTTACACTTAGAGCAGTCAACACTGATTTCACATATTCATGGACAAATCTTTAATAAAAATACTTGATTGAAAATATGATTTTTTATGTACAAAAGACTTGTTTACTAAAAGCTTGCAAACTCTTATGAAGATGCACTTACTTTGTTAAATGTAATAATATGGATACTCGTAATTACTTGATGGTTACCAGGTCAGAGTAATCTACCGATCCTGTATGGAAAGAGTTAAACATGTAACAGTAAGCTGTATATGTTATACATTTGTTCTTCTAGCCTGTATATGATTTAAACATGTATCACCAAGCTATATATGCTATACATGTGATCTGTTACCTTGTATATAGTTTAAACATGTAGCATCAAGTTGTTCTATTAGCTTGCATATGGTTTAAACGTGTAACACCAAGCTATATGCTCTACACATTTGTTCTACTAGCCTATATACGGTTTAAACAAGTAGTACCAAGCTATATGTGCTATACATTTTTTTACCATATATGGTTTAAATATGTAATAGCAGGCTATATGTGCTATGCATATGAGCTTCTAGTTTATATATGGTTTAAACTTGTAACAACTAGCTCTATATTCTATACATTGATTTTTTAGCATGTATTTGGTTAAAACATGTAATACCATGCTGTATGTGCTGTACTTTTGTTCTGCTAGCCTGTATATGGTTTAAACATGTAGCATTAAGTGCTATGTGCTATTCCTTTGTTCTGCTAGTTTGCATATAGTTTAAACATTTCACACAAGCTATATATGCTGTATATTTGTTCTTCTAGGTTATATGTGGTTTGCACATGTAATAACAAGCTATATTTGTTACACAGTTGTTCTATTCTAAAGATCCAACACCAATTTGTATAATTTGGATGGTAATAACCTTAACAGTGTAATGAAAAAAGGTATATTAGTGTAGTGGTTCATCAATATCTTAAGCCATCCAAGCTAAGAATGGTAGGATAGGGGACACAAATATAAATTTGGGCAAGGAAGGAATCATCTTCAGCTAATACAGTTTTATTTTTCCAACAGGGTAGTTGGCATTTGGAACTGTTTGCATTCAGATATTGTAAAGGCAGTAAATTTAAGTGAGTTTAGGAGAAAGCTTGATAACTATATGAATGATAAGGGCTGTCTTTGTGTTGTTTTATTTTATTTATTTAATAGTTTTAATTTAATTTAGAGGATGAGACAGTCTAGATGGACCTATAGGTCCCTTGTTGTCCCTAAACATTATAACACATTTTCATCTCATCATTTAATTTCTGTTGTGCATATATTGTTGTATAAACGAAGTTTTATAATAATGGAATGTATGAAAAGTGACGCGAAAAACGGGGCTAACTCGGTAACCCATGACCCAATTTTAACGAAACTTGTTTTATTCTGTTTATATTTTCACTTCATTACAAATATGGTGCTATTGTGCACCATTTTTGCTGTATTTAATTACAGACAAGCACACACACACACACACACACACACACACACACACAAACAATCTGAGTTTTTGTAGTATATAGATAAGAAGAGTTTTTAATTAGATATTTTAATGGGAAATTTGTTCCTTAATATATGGAGTCAGACTGTTCACTTTCCTAAAGTGCAATGTGATTTTCATGTTAAGATTAAAAATGTTTCTTCATCTGAAAATTTTCAAATTTCATTTGCATAAACTTTTAAGAGCTCACAGAAAAGCATAATTTAGGGAGTTTGATCAATTACTTGGCCATATTTAGTCCTATTTACATGAGATTTGGTGTAAAGATATCTTCTTGCAGGTCTTAAGCACTGATATAGACAGTTTTCAGTTTTTATGGTGTCAAAATTGGTCATGTTGGGATTGCAGGGTGGAGATGTTGTATTTGCCTGTGACTGTTGGTCTCTTTAATTTTAACTATTATAAGATTAAGAACTTAAAACTTGTATAATATTAAAATATGATTTATTACCACATTTTCATGCCATGCTTATTTGTATGCATTGATAATAAAGTAATGGAAAGAAATTTTAAATGTAACAGTAAAAGGTTGTGACGAACACACTTTGACCAACCCATTGTGAAAAAACTATTGTTGTTCTACCATGTATATGGTATGAACATGTAACACCAAGCTATATGTGTTATTGCTCCACTAGCTTGTTTTTGGTGTTAAATGATAACACCAGTCTATATGCATTGCACATTTCAATTAATATCCTGTATCTGTATTTTGTGAAGGGAGTAGAAGAATGTTAGATGTGATGGATGTGACCACACAGAAGGATGTAGAAATGTCAATGAAAGAATGGTGCAAGTATTTTGAAAACCCAAATCGAGATAAACTCTTAAATGTCATTAGCCTTGAGTTCAGCCATACCAGGCTGGAGCATTATGTAGAGTCACCTACTGTGGTAAGTTTTTTTATTCTGAAACAAAATTAATGTTTCTTTTTGAACTTGAATTTTAAAATATATCTTGTAATTAGTTTTTTGAAGAGTTTTAGTTGATGATTATAGCATTTGTCATCATGAAGTTTGAAAGCAAAAGTTTGCTATGAGGAAGTATATGTATTAAAATGGTGCCTAATACTTATATTGAGTTTCAAAAATATGAATACTATCATCTTGTATTACAATATAAATTTTGTAAAACAGTTCATTTGAAGGACTGACATTGTGTGATGTTTTTATATAGATATTTTGTGCATTTATAATAGAGAAAACTTGTATTTTTTCTCAAAGAACACAAGTGTCCCTTGTGTTCCAATAATACCGATTTATCAGTAACAATATGTTAGTAGTCATTACAGGTTACAATTCTTTTTTATTAAACTTTTCATTACATCTCTCCTCCTAAAACACAGTTCTTCCTTTTGCTTCAAAAACACAAGTGTATGTTGTGCATCAACAAAACATTTATGTATAGGTGGTGCTACACTGTTAGTCAACATAAGTTACACTATTTGTTAAGCCTGCCAGTGCATTCTCTTACTTTCTATTGCTAAACTTATTCACTGTGTTATAATACTGTAAAACATGAAACTTCTTTGCTAGAATAATTTACCACATCATAAATAATATTCTTACTTTGGTTTCTTGTGCCATTTATTCCTAAAATGAGAAGTTTAATCTATTAAATTATACAAGTTTGGTGTTGATTGAGCCATGTGAACAACAGAGAAAGTGATACATAGAATGAAATATGTTTGTATTAGGTCGTCAAGAAATTAATGTCACCTTTTTTAGATGAAAAAACTCGAACCTTATATTTCAAAACAAAATGATTATCAAATGAAATAGTCTTCATTCTTATCGATGATGTTTTATCATCTTACAATCAGGTTGTTAATGCCCTGATCAAAGAAATCACTTGGCTTTGAAGCAAAAATATGTCGATGTCCTCTTTAACACCTTCCACATTTTCCCATTAAGATGGTCTTGCAGCTAACGAAAAAGATGGTACTCTAATGGTGCCATATCTGGAGAATAGGGTGGGTGGGGGAGAACTTTCCAACCCAACTCTATAATCTTGTGTTGCATCAAATGTGCCACATGTGGACGTGCATTGCTGTGGAGAAGAACACCTTTCTGATTGACGAGTGAAGGGCGGTTCTGATGAAGGGCTTGATTTAATCGTTCCAGTTGCTGACTATAGATCTTTGCATTGACAGTTCATGGTGGATTCAGGAGTTTGAAATGAATTACTCTTTTGATGTCCCTCCAAATGCAAAGCATCACTTTCTGCGGATGGAGTCCAGGTTTTGGGATCGAAAGTGGTTTTTGTCTAGGACCGAGCCATTGTTTTTAGCATTTAATATTTGCATAGAGAATCCATTTTTCATCACTGATGACAATTTTGTTCAAAAATGGTTCAAGCGCATTACGCCCCAGAAGAGACGAAGCAACGTTCACATGTTGGAAACGATTATCATTGGAGAGTTCGTGAGGCACTCAAACACCTTCTTTATGCAGTTTTTCCCATATTCCTTAGATGTTTAGATATTGTTTCATGAGATACATGCAATTTCAGGGCCATTTCACGAGTGTGTTATTTTGGGTTAGACTGAACAAGCGTCTTTGGAGCATCAATACCAATTCCGAAGTGTCGGCCCTTGCCATCACAGTTTTTAAGGCTAAAGTCACCTGAACGAAATTTGCTGAACCATCGTTGACACTTACGAACATTCAAAACATTTCCATAAACTTCTTTGATATTCTTTGTGGCTACAGAGGGGTTGTTTCCCTTCTTGTATTCAAACAGCATTACATGCCGAATGTGTGTCTCGTCGTGTGCCATCACTATAAGGGATTAGAATATACTGAACTTTACACATTACATAGGCTACACTAATGTGACATTTAGATGTTTTGTTTAACTATTATACATGATGTATGTTTTTTTGGGTGGTGGTTAATGAAAGTATTCCAAAATGTAACATTAATTTCTTGACGACCTAATAGATGAAAACTACTGTATGACTACTACTAAGAAGCAGCACAACAGCCAGAATTGGAATTTAGTGTGCATACCATCTAGCAGTCATGACTCATATCTGGGTATTTTTGTTAGAATCCGTCATTACCAGTGAAAGTAACAAAATGGAAAAGGTGTGTTTGTAGGTGAAGATTAATCCTACAGTGTTATGGGTCCCCCTCTTTCAGCATTCCTCCATGTGATACAAGCTTTTACTGAGTTACATTCAAAATTAAATTAAGCAACCCTACTGTCAATTTATGTCAATAAATTAGCATTATAATGCAATATTTTATATTATTTAAGTTTTAATTCCTTTATTTCAAAATCAACCTTAAAAACAATTCCTAAACTTCAGTTTTATTGTCACGTGATGTGTTAGTTTACTTTCCTTCAGTCTATGTAACTTAAATAGTTTATGTACACTGTACTATCTATAGACATAAACTAGGTTAATCGCTCTGTTTACACATTCTTTCAAGCTCTTTAGGGCATGTTCGGAGAAAGGAAAAATACATTTCTTGGAACTCTTGACAGAAGTCATGCCTACTTTCTGTACATAAAGTTGCAATTTATCAACCAATTATACTTATTTGAGCTAGATGTTTATAACCAGTAGAAAAATTACATCTTGAAATATGATCTCCCAATACTTGTTTTAAAATTGGTACAAAGATTTCCATAGACAACTAGTCAAACAACACTTAGCATTGTTTCTACTTTTGTCCTCACTAGCACTTGGTATTGTTTCTAACCTAGAAATATGTTAGTTAGATAGATAGTTAAATTGTATTTAGGTTTTAGTTTTATATTTTTAGTTAATTATGTGTTATTTATGTTTTACGATGCATATTTGAAAGGTTTAATTTATCCTAACTCCTCCTCGGTTCATGAGAGTTAGTGTAGTAAACAGAGGAACAACATCCTGCTGAAGGCTAAAGTATCTCTGCCGGTGATGCTGTAATATTGGCTGGGGACAGCCACTGATGTGTGCCACAATAAATAATAACAATGCTAAAGGACAGAAAAGGAAAATAGAATATTAAAAATAAACTGTATGTGAAAATGTAAAGATATGCAATAAAGATTATAAACCAGTTTAAAATTATTTGATGAAAAATTTAATGGTATGTACATTTTTTCCTGTGTCTTAATTTTAAACATTCCATTGTACTATATGTTGATAAAAAATAATAGCTACAGTTAATAATATGGTAGAGAAAGGGTAAAATAACATATAAATATTTACCTTAAAAAACTTTGATATTTATTGAAGAAGTGCTAGGGGTTAAGCAAATAAAATTTAAAAACTAGAAGATGGAAAAAATATTTTTACACTTAATATGAAAACCATCAGAGTCTGAGTGCAAATAACTACAATAAATAAATAGCAAATTTATTGGAAATAATTGAAATAAACTCATTCTAATGTATACAAAATACCTGTAATCTTCAACAGAATTGTACCAACTTATATGAAGGTACTATAACAAAGCTCAGAGTTATCATAATTATTGTTGAACTGTGTATCATTCTCCATATGAACAAGTGCTAAATGGACATACCCAAACTATAGGGTTAATACATAATCCTTAGGAATTTGGTTACATCAACTTTTAATCAGAAATGTGATTGTACGCTAAGTAGGCATATATAATACTGGTTAAAAAATATTGTTGATCAAAAATTGCAAGCAGACTTAAAAGTTTTCCTTGGTTGTTATTATCATTGGGGGGAAATAATTTATTTTTGTTTGTGTTGAATGATAAGTGAACAATGGGAGTGGTTGCGGTACTAAAATTGTATAAAGTGAACGACTGTTAATATTGTGCTGACATTTTCATGGTGTTTAATAGGTTCGACAGGTGGACTGGGTAGACTGGGTATGGCCTCAACATCTGAAAGAAAGCCAAACAGAAGCAACTAATGCTATAGAAGAAATGAAATATCCCAAAGTACAAAAGTAGGACTTGTATTCTCTTTTTAAAAATCATTATGTTCATAAAAGCTACTTTTTGGAAAATATAAATAATACAATTTAATTCCAGGAAACTGTTTTATTTGAAAAAAATTACTTAAGTTCCTATAAAAAAACTTAATGGCTTGTTCCTTTTTCAGGGTAAAGTATGTTACTTGAACTAATACACTATGGTTATTATAGTAATTGTAATGCGTAAGTTGCTGTTAAACACTTTACCCTAAGGAAGGTATAATTTTCTAAGTTGGCTCAGTAAACAGTTCTTTTATAGAAATCAAGTTGTTTTTTACATAAGAAGTGAGTTCTGTATTACAGTACTCAGTCTGTTACATTAAATCCAATGCTACCTCTTATGAAATACATTTTCTGACAAGGTACCTGATCTCCTCTCACATACATAGCTATTCTCATTCAGTGCTGCCCTCTGTTTGTTTGTTTTTTTCGCATAACAAAAGCCTTTCACTCCCACCCTTCGGTTCATATGGTTTAACTGATTCACGCATGCAAATTGCCATGTGGCAAACCTCCATCAATAGACATATGCTCCACACGCATCTCCTGTGACTCCTACTATGCTATTCTACCTACCTATCATTTCTTGTTAGGCAGTGCTTGTGTTCTGTTCAGACATTTTATTTAGTGCTTTCTGTGAATTTTGAATTTTGGTATTGTTTATCTTCCAGTTTTCTACTTATTTTAAATAGTTGTTATTTGGACCTCATTTCATGGTATTATTTATTTTTTTCCCAGTTATGGAACTTATCATTTTTCCATGGATTTGTTTCTTTATCAACACAGTTATGTTTGGTTTTCATTTGCATTATGAATTCTGAAGTGCAAGTTACCCTGTCAGAAGTTGTACTTTCTACCAGCACATTTACTCAGGCTTCGGGTGATAGCAAGTTTACTTTAGAATTATTGGCAATTATTTGTCAAGAGATTGATCATTATTTAAGCCAACCTTCTTCTTCTAATATTGCCCAGCTTCCTACTGAACAAGCTGGACCTGTTCGGGATGACGAAACATTTGACAGCCTTTTCCCTTCACCTTAATTTTTTTGTGTCTTCCCAAATTCCTACTGTGGGTTCTGTTAGGCCTAATACAGCATTTTTGGACATGATTTCCCAAATGTTCTATTTATCCCTTTCCTCGATTTCCTATAATTCTCTATCTTCCTTGTTCATGATACTCCTTCCTATCATTAGTTTGTGTTTCCACCATCTCCTGATATTGGGGTTCATGCTAAGTGTTTTGAATCTCAGTTATGTGATGTTGTGTGCATGCCTCACCTTCCATGGGCTTTGGATCAGTTCACTTTAGCATACCATCAAGCCAATTTTATGTTCCTTGATTCTCAGCAACTGGAATCCATTTTACCTATTTGGGGGGATGGACTTTGATTTTCCTGTTCTTTTGTTTCATGCTCAATTTTCTTGCCTTTGTCTTTCCCTCGCATCTATCTTTTGGTACTTGTCCATCATACACCTCCTCTCCGAAGCAATTCACCGAGGTCCTCAGGGTTTTTTTTGGGGGGGGGGATAAATATGCCCTAATTACATCCTTGTTAGCATGTTTGTCGACTTTGGCTCTTTCTTTACACACATGGTTCGTCTGTTGTTAGGATCTTTTGGGGAGAGACATGGTTTTGTCCACTGTTCATTTGCCATCTCCTTATCTTAGTCAGAATTGGACAGGAAAATTCCTTTATATGTATCCTTCTATCCGACTCCTTCCCAGGGTGATTTCTATTACCCACTCCACTCCATGTTGAGTCCTTCTGATTGATCCTTACTGGCCAGCCCAGCCCAGCCATTGTTTTTGTGGCTGCTCCTTCCCAGGGTTATTTCTATTACCCACTCCACTCCATGTTGAGTCCTTCTGATTGCTCCTTACTGGCCAGCTCAGCCATTGTTTTTGTGGCTGCTCCTGATCCAAACTGCTCCACTGTTGCCTCTTCTCAGCATTCCATCTCTTCTATGGCAGCCTTGGTCCCAGGTAATTCATCCTGCCATTCCAACCCTTTGTCTTCATGTCTGGTTGTTATCCAGTTCTTGGCAAGGAGATCTGGTTTATCATGGCAAGTAGCTTTATTGTTGGCACATTCAGTTCGACCTTCTTCCATGGAGGTTTATCAATGTAAGTTGAACGTTTTCTGCCTTTGGTCTTTTGGATCGTGGGTCCTCCCCTGCTCATCCCACCATTCTTTTTATTATAGATTTCCTCATTGGTTATTTGATCAGGGGTCTTTGGGCTCCTCGATCATGAGTTATCAGGTGGCCTTATCCCACACTTTTCATTTTTGCCTCCCATACCTTGTCACTCTTCTAGATTAGTTGCCCTCCATAGAGTGTGACCCTTCTGGATTGGGATGTCATTATGGTGCTTCACTACCTTACTTTACCTCCATTTGAATGTTTGTCTTCTTGTTTTATGTTTCATTTATCTCTTAAGACATATTTCCTCCTCCTTTTAGCCTGTGGACATTGTCGGTCAGATTTGTTTGCCATCGATGTTTCACGAACTCTGTGCCATTCCTCTTATCTTTTCTTTTACCCAGATCAATCTTTCCTTCCCAAGACTTTGGTGGCTTGGGAGAGTAATTCCTCCTCCTTCTTTTCGATTTCCCTTCCTTCCATTTCACATATTTTTTCCAGCTCTGATCCGGACAGACTTCTATGTCCAGTTCGTGCTCTTCATTGTTTTATTGCCCAAATGGCTTCCTTCCATTATAACTATTCCCGTCTATTCATCCCTTGGCAACTATCCTCTGTTTGTGATCTCTCTCCTTCCACCCTCACCAATTGGGTTCTGCTTTTAATTCTTCTTATCTTTTCTTTTACCTAGATCATTCGTTTCTTCCCAAGATTTTGGTGGCTTGGGAGAGTAATTCCTTCTCCTTGTCGATTTCTCACATTTTTTCCAGGTCTGATCCAGACAGACTTCTGTGTCCAGTTCGTGCTTTTCATTCTTATATTGCTCGAATGACTTCCTTCCATCATAATCATTCCCGTCTATTCATCCCTTGGCAACTATCCTCTGTTCATTTTCTCTTTCCTTCCACAATTACCTATTAGGTTCTGCTTTTAATTCGATTGGCTTATTTTTCTTTGTCTCCTTTTTCTTGTCAATTATAAAATTAGGCACCTTACTTTTTCCATGGTGTCTCATCTGCATCGTCCTTTGGAGGAAATTCTTCAAGTGGGCATGTGGACCACTTCGCATACTTTCATCTGTCACTATATGCATGGTGTTGCTGTTTCTTTCTTGTCTGGTTATCATCTCCCATCTGTGGCCATTCTTCAGACTTCGATGCGACTATAACTGAGTAAATTTTCTTTCTTTCATTATATATATTTTTCAAGGGCCTGTCCCATGTTTTGATCTGCCTGTCCAGTTATACTTCAATCACTTAGATTTGTACTCAAATATGCACTGTAAGGCCATGTTGATTTCACTTTCATAATTTCCATGGCCACTAAACACACACTATTTTTTACTATTACATATATTAAAGATGGGATGTTCTGTAAGATCGCTTGCATGTTATTCCTCGTGATATGTTTGCTTCATAATGTACCTATTCTGGACTGTACTGACCCATGGACTTCATGGGTAAAGCAGAAGGGGACTGTTCCTCATCCCTGCCATTCCTTAGATTGAATAAATTGGGTTAGGACTGCTTTTCAAAACAGGGTTTCGTGGTCACCCATTGCACTGGTTCCAGTGTGTATGTTCCTTCGGACTGCCCACCATATTTTCTCCTTCCGTTTATTTCAGTGGAGTAAGAGAGTCCTTACCACTTTCCAGTTCCAAGCCACTAGGTTGGTGGACCATGGAGGTATCCTCCTGAATGAGATATATATAATATAAACAATGACAATCCATTCAGTGGTGTACTGGACAGAAATCCCTCATAAAGATTCTTCTCAGAGGGGATGTTGTTGCTTTGGAGTGAGCTGCCATAACGATTAGGATCTCTCATCCTATCCCCACATGAAAGTCAGTTATTGGCAGTTGAGTTGTGGATTTAGAGCTGAACCAAAAGTCCTCACATGCGTGTTTTTGGGGGGTGCCCTGTGACTCACTCATTTTGCCTCAAGCGCACTACTTTGGTGTTGTGGGTCACAGTGGGTACACACGTTGGTTGTTTTGCTTCTTCCTCTTGCTCTCTCCCTTGATGACTTGAGGTGGTCCAGTATGTTTGGTTTGAGTGGGATATCTCTATTTCACTCTGATCACATGTGCCCTGTTCCCCAACTGGTGGTGGGAATTTTTCCCTCCGGTTGGCTGCACTTGAGGCGAAGACAGTATGATCCTCTTTCCTACCCCCGCGTGGATGTCGGTTCTTGGCGATCGAGTTTTGGATGCAGTTGACTTGCTGTGTATGGTCCGTTGGGCCCTGGCCACTCTACACCTTGGGGCACATCACTTCTTTTACCCACATTTTGTTCATCAGGGAGATTGAAATTATTATATATTGCAGGGCTCACTCTTAATTATTTCCTCGGGTGGGGGGGAGGGGGTCAGCCAGTGACACTAAAACATACAGTTGTAGGGGCAGTCTTATAGCTCATTGAAAAATGTACTTTATGGTGGAAATTATCAGAAAAATCACTGAATTAAATAGTGAATGTTACATAAATTGAAAGAAAACTAAAGATTTTGTTATGTGATTTTTAATTTCTCTCTAAACCATGGTATAACAGTAACGTTTTGTTCCCCTTTAAGTACTTCGAATGATGTGCCATGTCCCATTAGTACCGCACTGTTTAAATATTGTTTTGAGAAATTGGAAACTTGGAATGTCCCATTACTTTCCAGTAGGGTTTTTTTGTCAGTTGTTTGAATTGCGCATGTCACTATCAGAAATGCCATCATAAGTTGAGAGAGGTAAACAGGTATATATAAATACTTACAAAATAATTAACCTATTGGACAGCTGTGGAACATTTCATCATTTGAATCTAATCAAAAACACTTTAGG